GAAGCATATTCTATTTTCATTTTCCTCATCTCTTATACTAAATTTGTTAAAACTGATCCATATGCCATGGTATTTGAAGTATTTAGTATTTACTAAATCCTAACCATTTGTTTGAAGTAGTGAGGAACGCCAACATCTTGATGATGATCATTATTTTCTCTTCGAAAATATGCGAAAGACCTCAAGTGATGTGGTTTCTGTAATCAGGTACAGTTCTTTGTTGGTGATTCTGTAGCGCCATTCTACAATGTTTGGAAGAAAGACGGTCTTCGCCAAGATCCACTTCGAAAGTAGTTGTATGCAGCTGAGAGTTTAGATATTTCAGAACGGGTTTTGGGCCATGAGTAGGATCCACATGAAAATGCACTTCGGCGCGGTGCAGTGCTTAGCATGCTTGTTTGGCTAGATTAATTACGACTGAATGAGTTCGATCCTCATTGGGTGCTCCATGCTTTTGGTCTTGTGTCAGAAGTAACCTACGCTTACTAAATCTCCATCTCGATCTAACGAGGCCTTTTAAGAACATGACTTCAGTTTTCAGGATCTTGATTTTTTTCTACTTGAATAATTTTAAAGTTCTGATTTGGTTATCGATTTTTTTTAGAATATACTTTTTCTTACCAGTAGTAGATGTTTCGAGCCCGACCTGGTGTGTCGCCGAGGGACTCGTCCTTTGGAATACTGCGTGGCGGTATGATACGGTATTTAGTTATATTTTTAGGCCTTCTCAAGAGATCAAAGTGGTTGTTTTTTTATATCAGTGTTCCATAGGAGCTCTATCGACCCGTTTGGTTTTATATCAGAGTTTGCCTTCTCTTAGATGAACTTCCTTTACCACAACTGAACTTGTTCATCTCACCGACATATAAAATCACGTTAAATGTTACAACATATGACTGTTCGTTGATAGGCATAAAATTTCATTAGAAAAATGAAAATGGAATTAAAATGCCTATATCTATTCCTCTGTATAATAATTAACATCGGACAATTGCTTGATATATGAAGAAGAGAGTGATGGAAATGTAATTCTGCAGAAGGATACTGAGAATGCCTTAGACTCAACATGTGAGCAACAAGGAGGTTTTAAAGAAAATGGGAAATAGAAAGACAATCACACAAAATAGGAAAAATACAGTTGAAATTTCTGGGATACTTTATGAGGAAAGAGGGCTTGGAAAATGTAATACTCACAGAACGTATTAAGAGAAGAATTTATATCGGGAAACTAACCTTTTCAGTTTGTATCATTGGATTGCAGAGTAGGAAAAAAGAGAGGTGGTAAAGAGTCAAACGTTGCTTAATTCTACAAGAGATGGGAAGTTGTGGAGAGCCATGGTCACCAACTTCATGAAGTAAGCATCTAACAAGTTTGTGTTAATGGATAGTGACGCAGGAGCAAAGAGAGATGGTAAATGGTCAGACGTTGCTTAGAGCTACAAGAAATGGGAAGTTGTGGAGAGCCATGATCAAACACCTCCTGAAGTCGGCTATCTAACGAGTTTGCGTGAATGGCTAGCAGAGCAGAGTCAATGAGAAATTGTAAAGAGTCAGATGTCGCCTAGAGCTAGAAGAGATAGGAAGCTGTGGAGAGCCATTATCAACCACTCCCTGAAGTAAGCGATCTAATGTGTTTGTGCGAATGGATAGTGGAGCAGAGACAAAGATAGATGGTAAAGGGTGTGACGTCGCTTAGAGCTACAAGCAGTAGGAAATTGTGGAGAGCCGGAACAACCTGAAGTGTCACGGCACATAAATCATTATGATGACTTTATGAGACAACTCGTTTAACATTACAACTAAATCCCGCAAAAAGGTTAGCTTAGTTTTATACAAGGTCAAGCATGTGAGGCACCCAGTGAGGATCAAACATTACAATTTGGTAACCATTGCCCATCGAAGAACAGGGTAGTCCGAAATTCTTGTCACCCCTACGTAACATAATTTTCTATTTCAACGCCATGTAGGGTATTACCAAGGGGAGCGTTTCACATGAAAGATACCAGAGTACCCATCAGTTGAAGGCCGCCATTAGGTGAACCTTTGCAACAGTCAACAAAACCCAGCTCCATAAAATATCACACAGAACATGGCGCCGAATCATTTTGTGCCACGAAAATGATTGTGTTCATACAGACCTTCTCGATGAGTGACAGCGTCAATAAAATAGAATAAACTGAATCCAGTTCATGTGCTTGTTCTACTGTTCTCATAACTTTTTGGTTGGTAGTGATAAGACTTTCGGACCACCCTGTACATTACATTGGGAATTTTACATGTTAAATATTTATTTCTTGGGATTATTGAAATTAGACGGTTTTCCTTTCCATGACCTCTGATGGATTCTTTGTCAAATGAAGTAAGTTCTTTTTCAATTTACAATGTTTGTTGTTAATTAGTTCTGAGCTGAAGAATTTTCAACGAAAACCTTCTGGAAACAGCTCACCTGTCGAAGTTTGGACTCGATGAACTCTCAATTTAATTATGTCTGGGAATGTAG